ATTTGGGAAAGAAACTGGTAATGTTTTGTATCATGGAATTGGGGAAGCAATGGAATGGAATGGTTGATTCCGGTTAGAAAATAACCCATTTATATTTAAGTAATATTTAATGACATAATTTTTTTTTGACCTTTCATGATTTAGTAACTCATTTTTTTCTAGAAATTAACTATATTTATTTAGCGGTTGATTGAATGGAAAACACGAACATTTTTTTAAGTTATCAAAATGTTGTGTCTTTTATGCAAAAAATATTTTATACTTATTTGCATAAAAGAAATAATATGTTGACCACTTTTTCAAAGAGACAAAATCTTTTTACGTAAAAAGGCAATAACGGAAAGTTAGGTCACGATTTTGGTTTAGATTGTAAATTAAAATTTTAGGTCTTACCCCAAAAAATGTCAAAATGTTGTATTTTACGCAATTAACACTATTTTTTATTATAATCTGATATGAGTTTTAAATTTTAATAAACTTTTAGTATGGTTAATTTTGTATTTTTGTACACATTTACATATACTATAAAAAAGTTTAAATGAAAATTCATTCGCTTCCTACTGGCCAACAAAACATGATTATGGAATGTAATAACACATTCCATTACCTTGTTCACTCCATTCCATCCATCCAATCAAACCCTAAAAGGAAATTCTTGTAAACCACTATCTCAAAAAAAGGTAAACTAAATTTTTTTAAATTAAAAGTAAACCCAATCCATTAATGGTGTCACTATAATAGCTTCTTTGGCAGAGCCTGTAAGAACATAGTAGAAACTCAGACCTTACTAACCCTTTGTATGCTAACTTAAATTTGAGTTATAATTAAAAGAAGTTTAGACTGACCAAGTCGTTCACCTTCCTTTCTTTCTAGTTGTATCTTTGCACTTGGAAAATTCTTGACCAAAAAAAAGTATTGACCAACTCCAGGAAGGTGAACGACTTGGTCTATCATGTGTTTGTAGATCAACCTAACCATAGGCAAACAAAAATCAAAAATTATTTATATTAGTATCAAAAATTAAGCCAACTATGTGAAACCAGTAGGATGATTGTTCGCCAAGCATAGCTAGTTTCACCATAGATTCTAATTTCTATCAATTATCTGATTCGATACTTCATTCATTAGAAGTATCAGACCTTTTCAACATACATATCATCTAGTCTTACTTACTGCAACAAAAATGAGATGACAAAGAAAATTTATATTCTTAAGACAAAAATTGTACATAATTGCTATGTGATACAGTAATTACCTTATTCAAAGAGATTATCATAAAAGAGAGCACATTAGGTAAATGGTTTCCTCCATACTTCACATCACCTTACAATCTTCGATCTCACCATACTTGACAAACGCATTGGTTAGAATCTCAGCGTGCGTAATCTTACCGGTTCTTTGAAGCATTTCATCAAACAGTTGATGTGCATATTCAAATCTGCCAACTATGAACAAAAAAAAAAAAAAAACAATCTAATAAGCCCCAAATTAGTTTCTTTTTTCACAGAGAAGGTTTGTCCAAAATTACATGACTTCATTATGTCAAAATAAAATCACTCTATAAGGTAAGGACTAATGAAACAAAGATGCACTGATTTTGAACTACAAATGTAAGTGACTACAAAATCCAATAATCAAAATCAATTGGTTGAGCTATCATTTGACTAAAAAAATAGATACAATGTCCATAAATGACTACAAAAATCAGAACACAAAATCAATTGACCAAACTATCAATGAAAAGTCGTATTCCATGATATGACGTTTCATTCAGACATTTTATCAAACACCCTTTGTACATAATTTAGTTTACCATGTTTTGTTTACATGTCAATCACAGAGTTTTCAAAAATCACACAGAAGGGAATTTTAGACTAAAGGACAGGGATGTGAGTGTGTTTACCTGTTTCATATGTTGTAACCAAAGAAACCACCAGAATTTTCAAAATCGAAAATCATAAAAACAGATTTCAGCTTTAGGTGAAAGCCCAAATAAAAAATACGACAGTGATTTTTTGGGAGAGGAGGCTCAAAAAAGGGAATGAAAGGCGGTATGGTTGCAAACACCGGTTGCATATTCCAATCGGATATGCCTTCCGAGTTACCTTGCCAAAATACGGCCTTCAACTTCACCCATGGTCGACGTTGCAATTTTTTTCACAAACAAAGCTCATCATCGCCTCAAATCTTTGTACAGAACAATCAAAATCAGAACCCATCAAAGGAATTACAAGTGAATGATGAAGACCAGAAAACGTCAAACGAAACAATCAAAACCGCAAGAAAGGAACACATAATCGCAAGATAGGGAGAAACAGAAATCCAAAAGCGCGAGGTGGAAACTGAAATTAGAAGGCAACATATACCGAGAAGCCAACGTCTATCTACAATTACTTTAAGGCGGTTTTGTAAGGCGGTTCTTTAAGACGGTGAAGACTAAAAAAAATATCCGGTGCCAAAAGCAGAAAGCGAAGGAAAAAAGGGTACAAATGACAAATGTAAAAGTTTGTTTAAAGCAACCTTCCCGTGTCAAAATCAGTAAGCGAAGAAAATTTAAGTGGCAGAAATGAGAAAGCAGAAAGTCTCCTATTCACCATCCTTTTAAGGATTAATAGTATATACAATAATAATAATAATAATAATAATAATAATAATAATAATAATAACCAGCGTTACACATTATATAAAATATTTGAGCAAATATAATAAAAAAACCTTCTAGTGTAGTGGAAATGATGTGACTTTGTGAATGTAAGGTCATGGGTTTGATTCTTATTACCCTCTTTTCATTTGCTATGCACTAAAATTTTAAGGGTAGAATTGGAAAGTCTTTATTCACGGCTGAGTCAGCCATCCATCCATGTCTTTCCCAGTCAGACCTTGCTGACCGAGTCATACACCAAATCAAACACTTTCAGTTGACCGAGTCAGCCAAAAATGTTTGACTTGACTCGGTCAGAGGCATATCAAATAGGACCTAAGTTTTAATTATTATTATTATTATTCCTATTTTTTTTTTTTTTTTTTTTTCAGATTTGGCATTATTTTTTTTGTTCAAAAGCAAACATTATTTTTTCCAATTTTGTTTAATGTTGAATATTTTCCATTTGAAACTGTATAAATATAATTTTATTACATTTTAAACCATATATATATTTTTATTTGAAAACCACATGTCTGTATAAATATAAGTACTTTTTTTACAATCAAACGATAAAATATTATGTATAAATATGTATTAGTTATATAAAAATCGTATTTTACATTAAATACGCTACTGTAAAATGAGTTCGGATGTTTGAAGGCGTGCAATCGTTCAAGACCCAAATGCCAGTGTAACCCGTGAAAATTTTACATCTCATATCATATTTATAATATTATTAGGAACATATTGAATCTCATTGTGTGACTTAATACTATCATGACTTAATCTTGAATGTCCATTTAATTGTTGAATGACATTTTAATTATTTTGGAGGTATGTAATTAGTATGTCCATTAACAATATTGAAAATCATATTTTTTAACATAATTTTTCAAAAATATTTATGAAGGCCAAATATCGCCATTATTACATTTATTTTAGTATTCTCATTAAACTTTGATATTTTGTTTATATTTTTTACATCTTCGATGCTTTAAACGAATGTTAGATGCGACATCAATATATATTTAATAGAATTATTTAATTGTAAAAAAATCTTATATTTATACAAAAATGTGGTTTTTAAATGAAAAAAATATATTTATATGGTTTCAGTGTAATAAAAAAAAGTTTATATCAAATGAAAAATATTCAACATTGAACACAATTGAAAAAAAATGATGTTTGATTTGGACCAAAAGATATAATGTCAAAATTGAAAAAAAAATTAAAAATCTAATGTTAAAATTGAATTAAAACTTAGTGTTTTTTTTTTCTTTTACTTCTTTTTTTTTTTTTGTAAAAAAAATTAATTTTTACACGTCAACAGGTCTTGTCTATATGCGACGTCATCAAACAACCAGGTTGACCGATCAAATGACTATGATTGTAACAAACTGGAAAACACTGTCAAATTTAAGATAAAAAAAACACAATGTCAATTTAAAATTTTGGTGTAAACTTTGTGATTTTATGCTATTTTCCCTTGATTTTTTAGGTCATGTGCTAAGAGTAAAACCGAGTCCCTAATATATTATTTTGATATATAAACAAGACATTAATACTAGGATAAAATTCAACACCTAATACACCGTCCCAAATTATATTAATAACCATGATTAAAAACATTTTTTATTTTTGTCAACGACGAAACTACAACATTATTCATTAGATTTCAAAGTGTTTTGCGACAAGATAATATGTCGTGCATTTCGCCGCCAAGTTCGTTGCTAATTTCATCGATGATCTTGTTGATGTAGGCCTTCAGCGGCGAATTTCCAACGGAACTTCCATTGTTGATTCAAATGTTACTTGTATGTAAAAATATATAAATCTGATCTATAATGTACGGTCGCACACCACACAGATCCTCCGATTCTGATTATAGCGAGTCATTCTCTATTGTTTTGATCATTAAGATACAACATGCATATTGATCTTATAAGCTCCAAAATATTTATCATAATTCCATCTTCGAGAGAATGTCAAACCACACCCCTTGAACGAGGAACGAGACGACAAATCCGTAGAACAAATATCATACACACAAATAGATGAATATTCCATACATTGCGAGTCATTTATTATTGTACACCTATCACCTTTCTAACCATTTATTATCCGATACACCATAGGCACACAATAATAATAATAATAATAATAATATTATTATATTATTATTATTATTATTATTATTATTATTATTATTATTATTATTATTATTATTAAAAAAGAAAAGTATACCGTTAACGGTTTGGTCAAGTTCTGCTTCTTTATATATCTTGTACCCCAAAAGTCACCAGCAGGCATTTTTAAGTCTAAAATCCACTTTTGTAGCAAGAACAAAGGAGAAGCCATGACTAGGTGGTGCTACTATAGATGGCAGATGGTGGTGGTTGCCTTTATGTTCATGGTCTTCCTCACAACTCCGGTGACATCACAGCCACAAACAAACATACTAATCACAGCTTGCAGCCAAGCTAACCACACCAACCTCCAGAATTTCTACGCCAATCTTAACTCTACTTTCCAAGATGTCCGAACACAATTATCGAACAATAACACATACTTTGCCACCGCAGAGCAGACAAGGAATTCAGAGGCAGTTTACGTAATGGGTCAGTGCAGGAACTACATGTCGACGATGGACTGCGTGGCTTGTTTTGATTTTGCCGATAGGGTAATACGTGTCTGCGCTGGTGCTAACGGTGGCCGAGTTGTACTTGACGGCTGCTTTCTCAGGTGAACATTTATATATTTACTTTTTTCATATTGTGAATACACAGATTACGAAGCAAGAGCAGCCAATCTCGAAATATCTATGATCATGCAACGTGCGGTTTGTATTGCGTTGAAAGACTTCGATTCCCTTGGTTTGTTTCTATCATATATATAGAAGTAAATTAAGTCCACATTTTATTTCTCGTCTGGAATAAACCACCAATTTTTATGGGACTTGATTTTTCGTACTGTTTGAAAAATCAATATAGGGACAATTATATACGCTTCAACCTATTTATTTTTAATTTATGATATTGAAGAGAGAGATCCAAATTGATGATTTGCTTCCAAACGACGCCTATTAACCTTCCTACTTCTTTCTCCTTCGGCGCTGCAGTTTCTTGAGTTGCTGATGCTTCCGATTCAAAGGGTAAGTGAAGTAGGACACATCTCTTCAGTCACATCATCCCACCAAAGCCTCCGTCTCCGCTTCTTGTTAGAAAATCGGGGTATAGATAAACTTGGATTAGTGAGAGTTGTGAAACACTTTCAGATTAAAGCATTTCGAGGGTACACTCAAAATCTTTAATCGGATGAAACTCACTATTTTTCTAGAATATAGAATGAAGAAGATGTTATGAATCTGTACTCAATAATAGAATCCGAAATTGATCATATATAACAGAAAACTAACTTTCTGTCTTAAACTGTCATATGGTAGTTATATCTAAATAACTTCCTGTCCAAAAACGGCCATATTACCTGTCATAAACTACCATAAAACCGGGTCTATAAATGGATCACAAAACCGGGTGTTTTTATCAAAATACGGATTTATGAGACATTTTTTATATAGTAACATAACTAAAACCATAAAACCGATCCCAGCCAGGGGCTCTGCCCCTTGGACCCCGCTCCTAGGGGCGTTGCCCCTGGACCCCCGTCAGTTCAGAGGCTTCGCCTCAAAATAGCAGTATACTTTCAACAATGATAAAATCAAACAAATGTGCACTCCGCACCATACTAATTTGTTCGATAATTGTCAAAGTGATATTGATCAACAAATTAACCCCATTACACATAAATAATATTAGTGATATAAAATCACCAACACTTCTTCCACTGATGATGCATGTAAAGTGCAATCTTCAATGGATACCGATTCAAATTAAATCTTCAATGGAACTCAAATTATTTAGGAGTCTTCAATTCCCGATTTCGTATTTTAGTATCAGAACATTGAAATCAAATCTAACCTGGTGTTGTTGAGATATCACGAATCGTATCCATATTGGAAGAAAACCATGAAACAATCTGCCATCTCGTATTAATTCTTCTTTAATCGAATACCTACACCTGGCGCCCAACAAAACAAACGTTTATTCAAGGAGCTTCAACACAAGACTTCAAGAGCTTCAAACAACTTGTATACGATGGATAAGTTAATGATCACATTTGGATGGAGGGCAAGACTTGTATACGATCAAGCTCTCTCTCTCTCTCTCTCATATGTTGGTGTGCCATTAGCTGTTGCAAATAGATGAGTTCGATTTTGATTGTAATCTTAGAGCTCGGATTCAAAGAACATTTGATTCTTTATGTTTTACATCCATTCTTCTATTTGATAAGGTGAAATGTGATGGCTTCATGTTCGCCCTGACCATCGCTTCTTTCCACCGAGGGCAACACTTCGTTTTAAGAAGATGTTTGTGGTGATAGTTTGTTGGAAATCTGGAGATTGGGATTGATTCAAAAACTTTGATTTCTTCAATATCATGAACTAAAATTAAAATGGGTCAAAAGGTAGAATTGCCCGTGTATTAATTTTCCAGTGGATGAATAAAACATGTGGAAAAAAATCAGTTCCCAATTTTTATTCCTCAAAGTTGTTGATCAAGTAGTTTCCAAAATTTATTCCACTATTCAATTTTCAAATTTGTTATTTTCAGTTTTGTATGTATTGTCGTCTCTGATTCAGGGTCGGCCCTAAGGAAGTGTTGGGTGTGCGACCACACACAATCCGTATCGTGAAGGGTAAAAATTTAAAACTTCAATAATCCATCACTATCTATAGCTAATCCATTGTGATTCCATTTCTAATCCATCGTTAATCCGTAGCAAATATGTTGCTAATCCATTGCTATATATTGTCATACGTTTCTAATCTGACATATTCTCATTAATCTGAAAGTTTAGGGCCTATTTTCACTCTTTGCATAAAGCCTTCAAAATTAATGGATCACTCTGCCCCCGATCAATCTTCGATTAGTCCCTAGGCGGTATGCGGCCAACTAAAAGGTGCCTAATGATTAATCCATGTTTAAATAGTGAGTTAAACTATAAAAGCCGATAAATTTTTAATGTTTTCAAGAAACTATTTGAGGAATGATTAGTGTTATATTATTCCGATTAACTTATTTTGTTATGATATTAGTAACATTTATTAACTTTGTTATGATATCAAACATTTTTATTTTTTAAAATTTAACGAAATTTACAAGTTAGGGTCCCCGGCTAATCCCTTACTAGGCCAACTAATATCTAGTCGCTAGTCGACCGACTTAATGACCTATACCCGCTAACCTTTTTATTAAAAGGTTCGGGTATGGATCATCACTGATCCACTTTGTTTATAACTCGCTCCATATAAATTTCGAATTATATATTTTTATTTTTTGTTGTGATCGTTTATTTTTAATTCCAATCGAAATTCCAAAGAGAAAATGTCAAACTGTGTTTACCCGGGGCTCGAGGAGTCGTCATCCAACCTTCTAGTTTTATGCCAAGAATTATGATTTCATTTCATTTATATTTCATTAAATTATCTCTAATACCATTTATAAATCAATAAAATCTATCAATTGTAATAAACTTTGTAATCACTATTCTCTATCACTATACTCGGCAATCAAAAATCAATCAGAAGTTTATGCAATAATGATTTGGTAAAAGGGTTTTGATCAAAGTCGATTCACTCCAAATTCGTTCCATTGCCAGATCTACTTAATACTGCCTAACAGTAACAACGTCTACATCCTTGGTTATTTTATAAAAATGTTTTGCAATATTATTTGACAAATATCACAAGCTTCTATTAATCAACTAAAAAGAAAGTATAACTTATACTAATAAGAAGCTTTCACGTTATCTACTCTAATAAATAAAGATCTTTTTGCCACATGTCACACTCTCATTCATTTTGACACATGTCATTCTGTGGTTATTTTAAATTATTATTTTCCTCATGTAATTTTATGGTTTTTTTCCCTGTTTTATTAAATTCCACATAATATTTAAATGTAATAATAAATGCATATCACTTTCATTGACAAACTTTTCTTCTAATTTCAAAATTCCTAAATTAAATCCTCATCGGTTTCATTTCTTCATTTATCTATATTTTTTGTTTAAATTTAAAATATAAAAAACACTTTAATTTTAATAATTCAATAATTTCTCACTTTTCTTGTAAATTAAAATTTCTCAAATGTTAAGAATTTTATATTTATTTTTTCTTTTAAAGAAACTCATGTAATGCATGGGTCTCACACCTAGTATACGTATCTACATGAATTTTAAGGAGCATGTTTTCGATGATCTAGCTTAAATAAGATTTCAGTGAAGGGCTACAAATAGCAACCACTTATACACGATTGGTGGGGTTGGTATGGAGATGTTAGGTGTCCATGTGCGAGGGCATGAAAGTTAAAAGTGGCAATAAGAATAATCGTTAGGTAAGTGGTTGAAGATATTTACTCTATATGTATGTGAACACATGAAAATAACTGGTTGAAGATATTTACTCTATATGTGTGAACACTTGAAAATAGGGGGTGCTACATACGTGTAGCTTTAAGAATTTTACGTATGTGAACGATGAAAACTTCATTTTTCTTATGCATGCAATGTTTGTGGCTTAAACATGAATCCTATAAATAGGCACAACCTCTTGCTTCACAATATCACAACACCAGATACGCCAGATAGAAAATATAGAGTGAGGTAGATTTTTGTAACATTAGGTTTTCAGATAAGCTTTTTTGCATTAAGTTGGCATTAATAGGTGTTTGGTAATTTCTCTGGATAACGATGCTACTTACTTAGTGGTCATGACGCGAAGAGTTCGCGGTATGAACTTTGATGAAGCTCGCGACACTATAGGACTGTTGGGCCAAACCTGAGAAGCCTTGAGATTTAGGCCTATTTAAAGGCATAAACTCCTAGGGTTTCATTATTTCCTCATCATCTATCACCCTCAGAGCAATCAAAGCAAACCATAGCCTCTCTAATTTGATTTTGAGCCTCTAATGTTTATTTATGCACCTTAAAGGAGAAGGTAGTGCATTTTTGAAGAAAGGAAGAAAATAGAAAGTTGGATCCAAGCTTTTAAGCACTTTTTGGACTATTGTAAGTCTTCAGTATTGAAGCTTTATGAGTTAGTATGTCTAGATCTATGATTTCATTCATGTTTTGGTCACATGGTTGATGTTTCTTTGGAGTTTAGGGAACTCCAATGTTAAAGGTTGTATTTTTATGGCTTATGAACCCATTGTGGTAAGAAAATGATGAGTTCATATTGTTATTTGGTCCATGCATGAGTATGAGATTTTGTTGGTCCTAATTTTGACATAGACTTGGTATGATGGTGTTAAGGACATGCAAATGATAAAGTTGGAAACTTTATCCATTAAGACCATATTTGATGTGTTCTGGAGGTTTAGAGTTTAGTTGTTAAAGTATTAAGACCTTAGTTGGAAGTTGGGTGTGTTTCCAAGATCGAGTCGTCATATGAGGATTTGGTCATGTCATGATATTCGAATTGACCACGTCTATTTTTCCGCTTAGCAGTAGCATCGCGACCTTGTGTTGGTCGCATCAAGATGACGTGGACAATTGACTTTTTTACCAGATTTGACTTTTAGCCAACTATTTTGGGTTTAGGTCTTAGATGGGAAAAATATTCTTTTTTCCATAGATTCCATTTTTTTGGACCCGGACTTGATAAGGAAGCATAATTGAGTATTTTACCTTATTTACTGAATTAGGATTCTTTAATGTGTAGTCTTGGGGAAGACTTGATACTATTAACTTGAGTTGTGGACTTAATCTTGTCTTCTATTTAGGTGAGTTCCCACACACTTTCTTATTATGTGTATTATGTGATGATGTTATGTACGACCAATAATAGCCCCTTGGATGGAAGTGTGGTCGTGATGTTTGGTACTACTACAGAATAGCCTCTTGGAGGAAAGTTCTAGTGTACCTTAGCAAGATGTATGACCACGGATAGCCTCTTTGAAGGAAGTGTGATCATGATGATCTGTACTGTTGGATAAGGTGTCTAAGTCCATAACTATTTCTGGTATGTACTTGACCCGACCCGGCATGGTCCATTTGGGTTGCATGGCACCATGCAATTGGATAGACTAAATGAGAGAAATAACACTTGGAGATTATTAATATATTATAAGTTCTAATATATTAATAATATTATTTGATTAGTTTGATCAAGAATTAATTTAGAATTAATTAAGTGATCAAAAGATAACTAATTAAATATATGGGTTGATTATGTAAATCATCCATATCTTGTATAGTGGGCTAAAAGGCTCCATGGATCATCAAGTTGGGTTCCACCCATAGGATGCTCCATGGATGCTCCATGGGAGTTACAAACCCATGGTCATGGAAATGAAGAGTCATGACACATTAGGGTTTAACCCTAGATGTGTCAACACTATATAAGTAACATATCTCCACCCAAAATCGGCTACACTAAGAATCAAGAGGGCTTGGCCGATTTTGAAGAAGTGAGTATTCTCTCATAAGTTCTTCCAAGAGCATTTGGTGTTGTGTGAAGCATTTGAGGCATCACACTTGGGGTGCTAGGCTCACAAGGTTTCAAGGAACACAAGCAACAACAAGGTAAGTTATTCTATCTATAC